GGGGGGGGGGCGGGCAACACTTGTGTCTCATTGCTCCTTAAGTTGATAGTTTTAAAAGTGTTTGAAAATAGACCCACTTCTTCCCTTTTGAAAGACCTCCTCATCATTAGGTTACTTATTTTACCTGGCAACCTTTTTCTTCCTTGACAGTAAAACACCAGGGCTTCCCACCACAACCCTTGTTCCTGAGCAGATTCGTTTGGACTTCGGTGATTGATGCAGAGAAGCCCCGTCCCACTTCCCTTCTCTTGAGGGCAACAACATCCCTGTGGGTGCAGGCTTAAGGGGACCCTCTGGGCAAGGGCTCCTGGGGGAAGTCTGCCTTCCGAAGGAGGCAGCAGGCCTGCCGATGGCGCTAGAGGCCCATCTGACTGGCAGCTTGCACCAGAGGAGGAATCTTCCAAAGTTACGCGTGTGACTTCGATTCAAACGTTTATTTTCCTGCCAACAACCAAATTGTAAGTAGTCCGCGTACAGCTTCGTGTGCTGTTTTTAAAGAAAAGCAAAAGCAAACTGTAGAACTGAACTGCACTCCAAGTGCCATAGATCAATTTTATTTTTCAGGAAATTATATTTGTTCTTCTTTTACAAGAGCACAACAGGAACCAAAGTCAGAGTAATAGATACAGCACTCAGAATAAATCATATCTTTAAAAAAAAATTTACACCTTGTCCTATGTCCTGTTAGTATTTTCATAATACGGCCATGATTTTTGAAAAACAAAAAGCAAGCATTTACACCTTTTTGGATACAGACTTTTTATGTCAGGAATGGGTTAATTGTCAACAAAATTTTATACTAATCAGGCTGATGTAAATCTATTTTGGTAACATACCAACAAATTTTATTTTGGAAATAGGTAAAAATATTGCCCCTTGATAATAAATCTTTTTCTCCTTTGAAGCAAACAGCTAGAACACCTTTTTCTTTTTCTTTTGATATTCTAAGACAAAAAAAAATGGTTAATCTTCAGATTAATAAATTAGGTCATTATAGTAATAAATTAATTTTTTTTAAAGTTCAGCAACCTCTGTCCAAGTATTTACAACAATACTTGAAAGTTCCTTTACAAAACAGAACACATTTTCTTTTCACATTAAGCATACTGGGTATCTGTGTCTTTCACAACAAGCATTTTTTAAAAAGAAAAATCAATGCACAAATGGGTAATCAGTATAAAAGTGCTGAGAGCTGTTTGGAAAGTTTATAATACACAGTCAGAGTGAAACTTGAGGCAAACAAACTTCCAGCTTTTACTGTGGATGATATTCCAGTAGTTTCAAACAGTTGTTTGGAAAAAAACAAAATGTCTCTGGCCAGTGAGTGAATTGAAAACCAACTGAAAGGGAAGCCAAGTGAGGCAGGACTGAATAACGTACTACCTTCTCTAGAGCAGGCGCCGTGCTGCTTAAGGCGTGTGCGTGGGCACGCACAGACACACCGAGCTGGAGGTGAGTGTGCTCTGATATGTATTTATACCACCACTCTCCCACACCTTTCTGATCACACTGCAGGTGTTCCGCGAAAATCTGTGAAAGCCTTGGTCATGGAATGCCTGGTTCTCTCTGTTCTGGTTAAAATCTCATAAAAATACATTCAACAGGAAAACATAAAATTGTGTGTGTATAAATATAGATGTGTGTGTATATATGTGTACATATATGCACACACACAAATACTTTTGCTTTTCTGAAGCATAACATAGTTACATAAATATTCCTATAATTGCTAAAGTTTAAAGAGGCATCATTTTTTTTCGAGCTTCAACAAAGGTGCTTTAATAATACACAATTAAAATGAAGTAGTTTCTATTTTGTAGAATCAGTATATAATAAGGAAAAAAAAAACCCCAGTCTTTTTTTTTTTTTAAGTTTCTTCGTAAGCTAGAGCTTCCATAAAAACTCTGAACAACCACCATGAGGAGAGAACAAAGCAACAACACGCATGGAGGACGGAAGCCCCAGGACTCCCGCCTCCCTGCCCCACTGCGGAGAGCAGAGCACCGGCGCCCACCTGGAGAAGTGACTGCCGGCTCGCATTCATTGGCTGACCCTGCTAGGAACTGGCTGATTGGCTTGGAATGAAAACAAAAATGAAACAAAAAGCAGCAAAAAGTATAACTATATTCCTAAGAACCCGCTTTCGGGAAATTTTGCTCTTGCATTTCCCTTGCTTCCTCACTGCCAACTGCAGTCATGCCTGTAGAGCAAAGAAACCTGTGGCTTTAGCCCTGGGATGGCTATTGGGAGGTTCTGGTGCGCGGCGCCTCCCCTCAGGTGGTTGTGGCGGCTGGAAGGCCAGCCCTGCGTGTGCGTGCGTCTCCTGCTGGTCCAGGGCCGCACTCGGCAGCAACCCCTACGACTTGGAAGCAGCAGGGAAAGACCCACCCTCGGGTGCTGGGCCAGCGAGCTGCTTTTCCTTTCCTGGATTTCTCCCCGAGCCAAGCTGACCAATTTCTTCCCAACACCACCCGCCCACCCGTTTCCCCAACCAAACTCCACTGTCCCCCTCCCCAAATATCTCTACAGCTATATTACAGGCAAATATATCTGAGCAACTTTAAAAACTTTGGTTCTAAGAAAACACTTGGTCAAGTTATCTTGCGGGAGAGTGGGAATGCTTGTTCTGCACGTTGCCATTGACCGCGCCCATCCCAGGGAGGCCTCCGCGCATCACATCAAGTCACTATCCCACACAGTCCACTAAGCAAGTGCACAATCCCTAGTTTACTTTTAAGAGCAGATTTCGCCGTTTTCTGTCTCGCAGGTCTCATCTCGGCCCTTCTTCACACCGTCTGGTAGAAATTGTCTGCCTGTAGCTGGTTCTGTTTCTGCATGCTGTAGAAGCCACTGAATCGTGCATCAGGCTCAGCGATTCTCAGCATTCTCTGGGAACTGTCCACCTGGACTCGGGTTCCTTTCTTGCAGTCCACCGATACCAGCTGGTTATTGAAGGAAGAAGGCTATTTAATGAGAGGAGGAGAGATCAGAGAGTTAGCTGGGTTTGTTTGTTTTAATCCATTCCAGATCAACGGTGAGGTGATCCCTCTGCCGTGCACTGGCCTGTGCAGGTCAGCCTGAGCCCATGCTGTCCCAGGCCCCCGCAGGAGGACACTGGCAAGCGGCAGTGACGGATGGAGGGCATGGGCGGAGGAGCGTGGAGACTGGTACAGTGGCATGAGGATGCGTGTCTCAGAGGACTGAGGGGCGAGGGGGGAGTTCCCAGAGGGAAGATTTTAAAGCAAGGGGTGATTTTTCATATCTGAGGCAATGGTCAAGCCTTCAACGTGGGCCAAGCATTGCGCCCAATTATAAGTTACGTTTCCTTCTGGCTGTGGGCTTTCGGGATACCCGGCATGTGCCCAGCATGAAGACTGTGCCCAGGTCATTTGAAAACTTTAATTGGGAGCCTTGAAAGGTCAGCCTTCATTAACTTAATGGATGATGGATAATTCGCCCAGTGATTGATCCAGCCCCAGGCAAACATTGTACATTTGAGAGCTTCGGGGTGATGCTAAATTGAACATATCACGCATGGACTAAAAGGGACCAAATGATTTTTAAGGGAATATGAGAATACAGGCTGCCTAATCAACATCTGTTAGGGGCAGTACCTTGGTTGGTGTCCGATACCAGCAGAGCAGCGGTACCCACTGTTTCTTCTGGTTGACGAGCAGAAAGGCGACGATAAGGGAAAGGCAGATGATGACGGGGACCACGACCGAGGTGATGGAGTCGAGCGCCGAGTCTCCACTTTGGGGCAGCCTGTTGTTCTCTCTGTAATCCACCTGGAGGTGACCCATGTCTAGGACACGGAGGCGGGAAATGTACATGCATTTACGACCTGAACCAGTACCTTTCAGGGGTATTTTAATTACATCGCAAATAGAGATCGGCAGCTTGATTTTATTGCCTTCCAGAGGTTTAAGGCCAAAAACATGATTAAAATTGAATGCCGATTCAAAGAGCTGCACCAGCAGGCAGCGCACTCAGGGATGGAGATGAAAGTGAAGGCTCAAGGGGAAGGCGTTCAGAATGGGGACGAGGGGCCTGACTAACAAGAGTTAGAAAATGCCCCGGTAGACTTTAAAAGTGACTGAGATGATTAAAAATAGTTTGAATACCTTTAATACCTAGATTCTCAACTTGTGGATCGCGACCCCTTTGGGGTTGCCCGATTCATAAGAGTAGCAAAATGACAGTGATGAAGTAGCAACGAAAATAATGTTATGGTTGGGGTCACCACCACATGAACTATATTAAAGGGTCACAGCATTAGGAAGGTTGAGAACCACTGACCTAGAGTCTTGAAAGATTCTGAGGTGGAGGCATTAGCTTATTAGCTCACTGGAAATCAAGGAAAAATTATATATTTTTTACCTTTTTTTTTGACATTGAGATTTCATTAATTTGTTAAAAGCTTTTCATTGATTTGTGTACTTTCCATACATATATCCATTTTGTCAAACACATCTGTACATGTCATCTTTTTCAAAACATTTTCTTTCTACTTGAGCGCCTGGCATCCGCTCATTTCCCCCCTTCCTTCCCCTCTTCCCCCTTGATAAACTATATTCTATTCATTAGTGTTGACAGGTAAGACTAATGAGATCCTAAATAATCACAAACTAAACCAGAATCAGGAACTTGGTCCATTGGGTGATACTGACTGAGCTTTACACCCAAATACCGTATACGTTCGTGTGTAAGCTGAGTTTCCCAGCACATTTTTATGCAGTTTTTGTAGTAAAATTAGGTGCCTCAACTGATATTTGGTTCGGCTTATACGCGAGTATATATGGTACTTACTTTTCCTAAACCTGTTAGCACTCACAAGACCTGGTAGAACCATTGTCCTGCTGCAGAGAGCAGGCTGCATGGCGGCTGGAGACACAGATCTCTGTAGTCTGTGCACATCTTCATGAAGAATGGGGCAAGGCAAGGTGCAACGCAGCCTGCCCACATGGGGCTTGCTACAAGGCCCCTTAGTTTTGTCTTGCTACAATCAGACTGTCTAAATGCCTCAGAGACAGTCCCCACCATAGATGTAGGGAACTTGGCTTTCATTGTGCTTGCCATGTGATGGCGCTGCTCTTAAGTGTTTTCAGGAAAGTCAGCAAACCTTTGTGATATTAAGGCAGCCCTGGTGAACAATTAAGATTTTTACTGGAGGAGAGGAGGAGGAAGGAAACTATCATTTGGGCCAGTGCCGATGGCAATACTATCTTTTTTTATGGCAATACTTTATATACTCAAAACCAAACTATCGACATGGAGTTATTCCGACTCCTAGTGACCCTATAGGCCTGAGATCTGTAAGGAAGCTGACTGCCATGTATCCTTCCTGCAGAGCAGCAGCTGTGCACTTCCAACCCTGGGCCTGCTCCGTCACAGCTCAGCACTTTAAGCCCTGTGCCGGGGCTCCTTTCACTGCTTTATATGGAAGGGCAAAAACCGAAGCATCTACCAGCATCAAATAAAATGCCAAAGGTACACATTGTAACTTACTGATAGATTCAAGTTTAAATATTTAATAACTAATTTTTTAACCTCTCTGCAATCCAAATGATGGGACTGCGTTTATGAATGCATGTCATACTAGAAGATTAAAATGTAATTTGAGGAAATCTTGTTGAGAGAAAAGCTGAGACAAGTCTTGTGGTAGTTATATAATCGCATGTCAACTTGAGGATAGTAAGAGGGAAGGGGTGGAGTCTGACAACAGTCTGTCAATCAGATCCCAGCCTGATATATTTCCTTGTGGACATGGCCTTCTCATGAGCATTCTGGGAACTTCCCCTTCTTTTCTGGGGAGGTGTGGGCCACACTCTCGGCTTCACATTCCTGTTAAGGAACCACACTCAGAGAGCTGGTAGAAGCCACCGCTGCTTCAGAGCCATGAGATTTTTCACCCACCGGCCTGTGAGCTTCCTGGATTCGGCATCATTGTGTGTGCTGTGTGAGTCAGGAGTAATTTATGGACTTGATCTGGACTGTTCTCCCTCTATACAGTTGGTTTTCCATATAAAGCTCTTTCTTATAGACATGAGTGTCTGTGTAGTCAGTCTGGACTAATACAAGTCTGTTGGTAAAAATCCAGGTAAGATCTAACATATCAACAGGATCGACTATGGCAGTAGGTCTCGGCTGGAATTTTAAGACTGAAACAGATGAATAGGTTAAAACAGAGGTACTGCCCCTTTATGAAAAAACAACTAGCACCCCACTGGCAATGAAAATCTACTGTACAATACCCCCAATCCAGGATAAAGTGTAGGCATCTGCTTTGCCAGCCCCTTCTGGTTCATTCCAGTGCCTGGGGCCAGTATCACCTAATTTGGGAAACAGTGGCCTAGAAGCATGGATTCTCTGGCTGCTGACACATGAGGAATTTTTTCCTACACAGACTGTAGAGCAGGGATCCTATGTGATATGTAAGCAAATCTCCACTGCCATTAAGTTGATTCTGACTGACAGTGACCTTCTATAGCAGTGGTTCTCAACCTTCCTAATGACGAGACCCTTTCATACAGGTCCTCATGTGGTGGTGACCCCCAACCATACCATTATTTTCATTGCTACTTCATCACTGTCATTTTGCTACTGTTCTGAATTGGGTGACCCCTGTGAAAGGGTCATTTGACCCCCAAAGGGGTTGCGACCCACAGGTTGAGAACCGCTGCTCTATAGGATTTCCGAGGCTGTCAAAGCTTGATGGGAGCAGAGAGCCTCATGTTTCCTCCGAGGAGCAGGTGGTGGGTTTGAATCACCAACCCCTTGAGGTTAACAGTCTAACACTTTGCAGCATCACTTCAAAATACACCAGTAAGTGAGGCTACTTTTAGGATCAAAGTTGCCCGTTTAGGACAGTGCTTGGAGCACAAGAGGCACTAAGTACTTCGTGAGGAATGAGTGTGTACCGTGTTGCTGCAGTGCCATTCTGTCAGAGCCGCCACACCAGGCGCTAACCACTGGTCCCCGGAATTTGGCTCTTTGGATTCAAACAACACTTGGGATATCTAGAGTTACACAGATCATCGATTTCTCAAGCCACGGATGTTGCTTCTTCCAAAAGGAATATAAAATATTTCATAGCAGGAGTTTTGCAACTGTGACTGAGCTGTGACTGACAGCAAGTTTATAGATAGTTTTGACTGAGAGGTCTACCTTGACAGAGGCAGCAGTACTGACAGGAATACAGCTGCGTGAGGGAAGAGAGTGATACTGCACGCAACCGGACGCGAGGAGGGGAAAAGCAAGGACTACGTCTAACGACTAGAAACGACCCACACGTCATCGATTGAACTGTCACTGTACACACACGTCTAACTGCCTGTACAGAACCCACACGGACCCTGACTCAATACTAGCCTGCATACAGCGGCCATTCACACACCCAGGTGAGAGATGGCACGGGAATTCCTGCTACCAAGTCCTCGCCGTCATCACGAAGTCTGAGCATGTGGGTGTAGGAAGGGCGCTCTCTACCCCATTCCCCAGACTTATGTCTGCATTGCGAGTCTTCATTACACCTGAAGCCCACCGGGTCTTTACTGGAGTAGTTATCTGAACTTCTTGGGCACACCATTTAAAAGTAACTCACAGGAAGTTGGAAAAAACACAAAGAATGAAACAAAGAAAAACACACCAAGCAGTAGCTGCCTAAGATGAGCTCTCTCTCAACTGCCCTCTGCACTTACCTCTCGGGAGGTGGACGATGTCATTCTCACTAGACGTTGGCCACATGGGGGCCTGCAGTTCAATCTCTCCACGGTGATGGGTCTTCTCAATGGGTACATTGGTTGGTTCTGGGACATACATTTCTGAAAGAAGGCAACATTGGAATTAAGAGATGACGAAGCTGCCTGCTTGATCTTACGGTTGGGCTTTTGTACCCTCAATCCAAATGGGGCATTCGATTCAATACAGTACGCCCTGGGCCCTGAGATTTGCATCATTAACGTGAAATGGGTGAAATGGCGTTACTAGCGTTGCAGTGGTGGTCCCCATCGGACGACGTTAAAAGTCAAGACGGCTCGCCTCCTGCACTAGGGTTAGAAGCTTTGCTTCTGTATGTGAGATGGTGCGGGGGCCATGGTCGGCTGTAAAGCCACTGGGGGGCTGGTTGGAATGGAACGCTCCTTCCACTTGCCGTCAGCTAATGGCTGTCCTTTGCTGTTCCCGGAAGCACTGTGTGTAGAGGTATGCACAGCAAACAAGGCGGCAGGGCTTGACGGAGTGCCAGCACGGCCCGCTGGCTGGCATTCCTTGCCAGACCAAGTCCCAAAGCAAATGCTCTGTCCTCCTCGCCAGGTGCTGCCTCACTGAAGTCTCTGGTGCCACTGGAAGCATGTAGGCTGGAAACCAATCTTCAGTCAAATACGTTGACACCATTCCCTGACTGGATCACACAGGCACTTTGATCAACAAGATACCACACCAGGAAAGAGAACTGTCTGGGAAACACAAGTCTTCATCCCCAAGAGCCGGCCTTTGGAAAGCCCATTCCCTCATGCTACAGCGCGGAAACTCAGGATTTTCCTAAGCGCACACCAAAAAGTATTTTTTGCTTTTTGAGCTGCCATCCACAGGTGAGCCGTGTGGAACCACCTCCTCGGGAGACAGGCCGGTTTTCTACTCCCGGCCACAGTTCACAGTCTCGGGTGGAAGCTCACGGGGGCAGTGCTACCCTGTCCTACAGGGTCGCTATGAGTCAGCATCGACTGAGTGGCAGGGAGTGATGTGAGTCACACAGGTTTAATAAGGGTTGATAACGTTGTCTTCTCGGGGGCGTTGCCTACCCCACTGTCACTAACCTTCCGAGAATGGCAGAGAGGGAAGATGTGAAAGAGTGCTAAGCTTCCAGTATGAGTTACGGGAATCAAGAGCGGTCAACCAACTTGCCCAACATTATGTATCTAGTAACTCGCAGAGCTGGCCTTCAAGTCTGGTAGTCTCCCAGTGCTTACTTTCTTTGTCTATCTTTCTGACAGGACAGGAACTAGAGAGAACGCTCAGAATTCCTACCGCTCAATGGGTCCCTGCAAAGCTTGAGTTTACAAACAGAATGTAATAAAAATACAATCAAACACAGGGGCAGGGATGCCTGAGTATCAATTCTCAAACTTTTCTATCACACTTGAATTACTGAAGAGCTTGCAAGGTGTGCTGATTCCCACCAGTAGGTGGTTCATGTGTGTGAGGGGAAGATGGGGGTGGAGGGGGGGCTGTTTATCCTACCCACAGAGAAACCCAGATGACAGCATGAATTTCCTGGATGAACTTGGGAAGGAAAACTGCTCGATGTGGGGTCTTTTCATTCCCCACCACGTCAGCACTCCTCCACCCAGTGTATCCCACAGGTTTGAGCCTTCTTGTCGCAATCAAAGGGCCAACCAGAGGCCGGCCTCTGGGGCCTCCACATAAAGACTAAGGTAAGGTCCAGTCCACCCACCCTGTGACCAGCTCGGTATCAAAGCCTCAGAGGCTCGGAGCTGGGATCGAGTCAGCTGTGAAACTCGTGCACCTCTGGCCCGCAGATGGGTGGCTTTCAATATAGCCCCACCAAACACCTGGCAGCGGTTCCCCGCAGGCACCCTTCAAAGGCTCCACTTGGCAGGAGCAGGAACGTCAGGACCTGGCTGGGAGGCAAGGGGGTGGCTCGTCCAGTAGAGACCGACCGAAGCGCTCAGTAACTCACAAAGCTCGCAACTCCGGTTCAGAGTGCTCCAGCAGGGACAGAACAAAAAAATCATCAGCAAAAAACTGCTTAGAGCAGCAAAATGTAAGGGGGGCTACTCCTCTATTTCAATGCCTAGACCCAGGCCTTCCTGGTGAAAGACTGAGTCCTTGTGGCATTTGCTAAAGAGCCGGTTAGAGCTCGGCCATTGCAGAGCCAGATGGGATGCAAAACCCCACCCAGCAAGGCCCGGTGCAGGCACCGCTGACTCGGTCCTATGGCCGTGAGGAAAAGTGCCATCCAGAGGAACCCAAGACAATTTACTCAGGATGAATTTTACTTCCTTAAAGGTGTCCTTTCCCTGGACACTTGGGGGGTCGGGGGGGGGGCACTCGGGACTCCGGCGACTAAGGCCCCTCTGTCTTGGAGATGGAACTTGGGGTCGATCCAGGCCTGGGAGGTTCGAGCTGCTTGGCTTTGGCGATTCACTTCACGTTTCCGAGCCTCGGCTTCCTGAATGATGGATCAAGCACGAACCACCCAGCTACCACCAAGGTTTGCCTGTACACCCAGAAAGGGAAGACGAGAAAACTATTTTGCAAAGGGTTGGAGTCCCTGGAGGTGCAACTGGTTAAGTTCTGGGCTGCTAGCTCCAAGGTTGGCAGTTTGAATCCACTCAGAGGTGCCTCGGAAGAAAGGCAGGCCTGAAAATCTACTCCCAAAGAATCATCCACTGACAATCCATGGAGTGCGAATCTATTCTGCACACATTTCGTCTGTGTGAGGCAGACTCTACTTTGACAGCAACTATTTAGTGTTTGTCTATTCAGAATGCAGGCTGGTCTTTCTAGAGGGCAAGTTTCCTATTGTTGGGGCACCGGGCAGAATCCAACAATCGTTTCACAGTGTTTCTGGGCGGTGACTGGGTGCGGGGGCAACACTCCAGTGAAGAACGTACACCGTGGTCACACTGTGTCCCAATGAGAGATGGGCCAGGTGCCCAGCCTCCCGTGAGCCGCACCTGGTCCAGCCTGACTGAGACTGGCTTGCTTAAAGATGGAGAAGGAATTCGCCAATCATGCACCAGGTGCAGAAAGGGCAGTTAATAAACAGGAAATAAGTGTTAACCCCACAGTAGGTCCTGAAGAAACCCCTAGGAATCTATTTGATTCCACGCCCTAACCCTGGAGCGTACCAGCTTGGGCGAGCCTTCAACTCTACTCCCACGTTCCCACCCCAAGTTTGGGTCTTGGTGGTCACCATGCACTGTTGGGGTCCCACCCTCCTCTCCTGAGTCGGTGCCCCCTGAATACCGCTTTGAACAACTTTATAGTTGAGCCTTGGCATCTGCTCATAACAATCCTCCCCTTGCCTGCCTTGGCCCCAACTCCACATTCTTGTCTTGATCATGAAGACCCTAAAAATCCTGGGCAAAGCTGTCTGTCCTGGCCTTAGCTTTCATTACCAGAACATTCGGCTATGGGTGCATCTGGTCTTGACCTTTCCCACCTGAGTCTTTGATTCTCATTAGGTTTTGCCGCCACTACTGAACAGCAGCTGCTCCTACTCAGAGGATTAGGCAACACTAAATGAAATGCTCCCTCTCATTTCTCATCTTGCTTCAGCTGGTGACACCGGCTACACTGCTAGTCTCTCCTTGCCAGCCTGGTCTCCAGTAGGCCGAGCGTCTCAGAACTCAGTCCAAAGTATTCCTGTTTTCTTATCTGTGATAGAGATTCAAACAGTTTATACAGGAATTCCACTATCTTTTAATTCCATTTCTTTCCATGGACTTTTGAAAGTCCCCTTGTGTAAGCTGTCTTGGGAGACAATCTCTCATTTGTCTCCAGGTTCAATACTGCCCTTAGCTAACCATGATCAAACTTAAGCGATGCATTTCCAATTTCTCTTCTGAATTGCAGAGTGTCCTATCTATTGCTTCCCCCATTACCTCCATTTACTGATAGGATTTCAAACTGAGCATGCTCCTTTGTGAAGCCCTCTTGTACTTTGATTTTACCTGCCTGGCCCCTCACTCCCCGATGCCTGCCTTCAGTCTTCTGAGTCTCTTCATGAATGCCTTTGTAAGACAGCGCCGCATGTCCTGCTTCTCTAGCCCCTTGCCGTGCTGGGCATTCCCCACAGCTCACTGCAGGCTCGGGACCATTCACGCTCCGTCTCTGTTGGCTGCCGACCCTGGAGGACGGGGCAGAACTGCTCTGTGAGTTTCCCAGACTTTAACTCTTTATGGGAATAGAAAGCCCCTTCTTTCTCCCGGGGAGCAGATGGTGGTTTCGAACTGCTGAACTTGTTAACAGCCCACCATGAAACCCACTCTCCCACTAGGGCTCCTTCTATGTGAGCAGTGACTGTGCTCTATTCATTGCTATATCCCTAGTACATGGAGCAGTAGCTGACACACCAAACCAAGCTCACTGCCCGGGTCAATTCTGACTCCCGGGACCCTGGAGCAGAGAGGACTTCCTCGCCGGTCGTGAGGCTGTCAATCTGTATGGGAGCTGATGTTTCCCTGCAGCAGCCGGTGGGTTCTAACCATTGACTTTTCAGTTAGCAGCCAAGAAGTTAAGCTCCGGGTCAGTGGGTGCCCCATGGGTCTTTGTTGAACAAAAATAAAGGGGGTTTCAATAGGTTCCTGGAAAGATATCATTATCTTTTTATTCGGTTTCCTCACAGACTTTTTGAAGTCCCCTCATAATGTCAAGTTTTCTCATTTAGCGCGTTAAAAAGTATATTCATAAGAATACAGAGGAGATGGTTATTAGAGGAGACACCTAGGAGAAAATCATCTATTTCTCCTTCGTTTCAAAAGACTCACGGAATTCTGTTCTCCTATGTACTCACCAAGTGATCAAGCATCTGAGAAGCAAAACGCCGCCTCTCGCTCTACGCCTTCGAAAGGGCAGCGAGAGCAAACAGCGAGGCGTGCCCGCGAGACGGCACCAAAGAGGCTCAGCCTCCTGCCCGAGTCAATGAATGACCCCTCCTGCTTTAGGGGCAAGTGGACATTGTCAGACACGCCCCATTAGAGCTCGCCTTCATAAAAAGCAAACAGAGGCCAACGAGTAAAGAGCTACATGAGATTCTCTGGGTTTAACTGACCCCCTCCTTCCGCACAAGCACTGGTCCTCACACCTCAAAGTAACCCTGCCACTAAAGGTGACACGTGAAGTTGAGAAGTAGAAGATGCCCGGCACGGCAGACAACCACGGTCTGGCACTCCCCTGGCGGCCACGGCTTCCCTGGTCACCCCTGAGTATTTGCACGGAAGATGTTAGAGGGCCCCATCGGCAGCCTGGGCAATGTGAGCTAATGCAGAGTCTGCTCCGATCCCATCTCAACGGTTGTTGAGAACAGACACAGCAGAGGTAGGTCTACGCCAGTCCAAGTTTCTCCACGTCCAGTTCAGGACGCGGACTACGTTCTCAAGCTGTGCAAGCGCCGCCACCCTCCCCTCCTGGCCGCGCCTCGTTAACAGGCGCTCATTGTCCCACCGGAGCCTCCATTTTAGCTTTATCAGCGGCTGTTATCAATTCGATTCCCCAGAGAGTTCTTAAACCCGATGCTCAAGGCAAACATTCTTTACAAGTTAAGCTAACCTACTATTTTGCTTTTAAGAAGCCTTCAGGTGATAGTTTTAAGGTTTAAAGATGATCTCAGGGCATGTTTCAGGAGTTCCTCCAGCCTCCAGAAAATCTGGATTCCAAGGAAATTTTAAATTCTTTCTTGAAATTCCAACCTTTGATGGGGATTCATCTACAAAATCTCGGCTCAAAACATCAAGTACTGGTAGACGGGCACTACCCACTTCCTCTGGTCTCATCTCAAAGGACGCATCTGCGCACAGACACTCTTAGCCACAAAATTCTATCTTCCTCTTATTGATTCTCCTTCTTCCCCAGTGGCTCCAGGTGAACGCAGAGCAACTGCTGTGCCTTGGACAGCTGCAGCCACGATTTTAAGACCCGAGGTACCATGTCTAGCTGCACTACTTACATCACTTATTACAGCTCGCAACATGGCAAGGCGAAGGCTTCCATACCTGGGCACATCGGGCAGCAACTGCCCTCCACATTGATGGGCTCAACGCAGGGCAGAGAGGGGCAGCTGACGGTTGAGCAGAGGGTCTGGCCCTGCAGGCAGTAGCAGTGTGTGCAGCTGTCCAGGTCCCAGCGCTCCTCGTCAGCGTAGGCCTTCCCGCTGAAGTGGCACACCACCTTCTTTGGGATCGTGTCTTCTAGCGGAAAGACAAGCACAGGGTAGAGTGGCTTGAGGTGTTCACAGTACCACATACACCCCAGACGTCAAGGGAACAGCATCGTCCCAAACCACCACACACCTGGAGTTTCAGAATTGGGCAAAGCTTCTGTTTCCCTGTTAGCACTCAGCTCGGCTCATGCGGCCCTTCAGAATTCTCCTCCAGTGGCCTGTACCTGACCCAGAGCCACTGTGCCTGACGCGGGGGTGGTGACAGGAACCACCCAGCTCACAATGACACCCACCGGATGAGGGCTGCCACGTTAGTTAGTTGTTTACGCCTAGTTGTTAGCACACTATGTGGAAACACACACACACACACACGGAAATATGAACAGGTAGGAATGTGCTGAGAGTTTGTTCCAGGAAGAAAGAAAAAGGAAAGCTATTTATAAAGACGAACTCCAGAAAGCCTACTTTCAATGTCTGTAAATGAGACCGCGGATGAGTAAATGACATTGGCAATGTGGTAGAGAAGCTGTAGTCCCCTCTGGCACCTCCAGCTGGAGGGGGGACTTGCATTGTGATACCATGTCCTTCATTCTCTTGCATCAACAGACACCCCTACTTTAAAAAGGAACTATTTCATTTTAATCCATATTCTTGGCAAACTATAGTGCTTGAGAACAAATCAATTTTTTTAGGAAGAGCTTACAGCTTCAAACATCCTGCTCGTCCCTCCCTCCGCCCTTGCCCTCCTTTCCCCTTCCCCAGGTGTGTCCTCCTTCACGTCCCTGGCTTGGCTGCATGGACTCGTGTTTCGTTCCTCTGGAGCTGAAAAGCCCCAGGGACCGGCAATCCCTGCAGCACAGCGGAGGGGTGCAGCACACTGGGCAGGAACTTCCTCAACACGAGCAGGCAGTAGCTGGAAGACTCCTGAATCTGGGAAAGTATATGCGCAGATTCCAAAGGCAGCTAGCCCCCCTCGCCACTGGCTCCTGGCAAATGTAAGAGCAACCACAGCACCTGGGGGTCCCAGTGGTGCTTCCAGGGACGAGGGGAGGGTCGCCGCGCAGCCCGGGACCGGCAGGTGGCGGGGAAGGGTGTGAGTGCGCGGTGAGAGGAACCTTGTCTCTGCGCAGCCTCACGTGCTCAAGCGCCCTCTGAGAAGCGCCTGGAAGAAGCTCCCTGGGTGACTTTCCGGCCAAGGGGCACAGATGAAAATGCTCAGAGACGTGCCTTGGGTCATACCATTGTCTAGTCAAGCATGTGTCCTTTGTGTTTCCATAGGAATCAGCCCTGGTTCGTCGCCGCGGTGTTCCTCAGCAGGCACAGGAAGGAGTCTACGCTGATAGTTAAAATGCACAGCGTGTTTGGTTTTCAACATTTTCTTACTGCTGCTGCTAAGGCGCCGCAAGAGACCCCTGAATCATCATCACAGGTTCTGGTTGTCAACTGAAACCCCTTTAAATACCTATTAAAACACGGACTTCACTGTTTGTGCTAAGTTTCCGTGCAGAAAAGTTCCCTGGTACACGGTCTGATAAAAAAAAAAATGATAAAAAAAATTCCGTTAGAGGCTTTATATCAAGCCTATCGAAGTTTTTTGCTAAGAACGGCTTCTTAAAGGAGAAGGCTTCATTAAATCAAAACCACCAGTGTCAAACGGCTAACCAGTCAGTGAGTCCTGGGGGACAGGATGCAGCCATCAAGTCTGGAGCCTATTAGCCCAGAGAACTCTCTGAACGGAAGCTTCCTCCATCGAGCTCTAATTCTGCTTTCTATCAATGCTGCAGAGGCTCATGCAATGGGCCGGTGGATCACGGTATAAGACGGGTACAAAAGATGCTCCTCTCCCTACCCAGCCCCCCACAATCTGTGGAGCCATTCCTTTGCGAAGCATCTAAGCCCACTTTCTTGTAGGAGGAGGACAGGAATGAAGGTTAGCACAGAAAGGGCCTTATTTTCTCAAGATCTAGGGAAAGCTATGGTAGCATATTTAATGATCACTTACGTTGAGGTTAAAACATTAATAGGTTAAGATATGTTATAAAAAGTAATTACAGGTTCAACATCATTAAGGGCATGCACGTGTTCATTCATTCAACAAATACTTCACACATCAGCGCCAAAGGCATGACCCCATGACCCAGTGGACTGCACAGACCCGGACAGAGGCCTGGGAGTCAGAGGACCTCACTACGGAATAATACAATCAGCACTGCTGACACGGCGCAGGAGATCGTGGCGGGCTGAACTGGGACGGCTTTGGCTAGGACATGATGTTGGGAATCTTACCTGAGGGGCAAATGGGAGAAGGCAAGATGGAAAGAGGGCATTCTAAGCGAAAGGTGGTGTGCCCAATGGCTTATCACATTGGCAGAACAGTGAGCAGTATCAGAGTTATACAGGGTCTGGGGGGAGGGAGGAGCTCAGGTTGGGGCTGACCTGAACTGTACTGGATGACAACGGAAACATGGACATTATTTCCTGTAGACGTGGGGACCTTCACAGCTGTTCTTAAGAAGATCGCTGTAGAAGAGGAGGGCATGGGTGGGCCAGAGGAAGGGAGGGAGGTTCAGCCTAAAAGCAAGGGTAATGGCGAAAGAAAGACTCGATTCGAGAGCGCTTCCTGGGAAGTGCCAGGATATGGATGGTGGGGAAGAGAGGTATGACATCCGTGTTCCTTGCACGGCAGACTGGACAGAGGTCATTCCAAGCTCACTGGACGGCTCCAGAGAGTCCAGTGATCAACAAGAGCTAACTCTCCAACTCTCGGCTTCTCTTTGTGAGCCTGATCATAAAGCCATGACTAGGGTGGAGGGGAGTCAGGGCCCATCCAGAAGCGTGTCTGAGACTGGGCTGGGGATCTCAGTCCCTGGAAGTAGGCCACAGGTAGGGAAAGACAGTGGTGCAGCGTGGGGGAACAGGGAGGCTGGAAGTGTCCGTGATAGCTCCTTAAAACTCCTATAATCCTTTGATCCAATAATCCCATGCCTGGAAACCACTGAAAAGGCCTAAAATTATTCATATAGCTACATGTTTATTACATTATTGTTTACATATACACACGTTCCTAATTTTATTTAGCCTACCAGCCCTTTTTCAGAAAACAAAAAAACTCAGCGCGCACACAGACACACACACCACCCCCCGACAAATACAAGCTTTTGTACTATATAGCCCATAATCCAGGATAAACTGTAGGTGTGTGCTTTTTGCCCGCCTCCCTCATGGTTCCAGCAAACCCCAGTGGGTGGTACCACCCATTTGGGAAACAATGACTTATAACAAAGATTTAAAAACAATCTCCAAAATTGTGTGCCTAACAATAGGGGCTGTTTAAATAACTCAAAAGGCACTAGCAGATGTGCAAATACCGTGTAAAGAATAGCACATATATTTTTGTGTGCAGCATGAACTCATATAAACAGTGAGGTAGCCAATTTGTAGAAGGCTATGGAGGACAGTGGGAGACCAAAATCCATCTGTAGAGGGCAGATCCCCACTAGCCACAGGCCAGGGACTTGAACAACTTTACAATCAGACAGAGATTACTGTAAACTTGATTATGGTGGACCAAACCATGGTATGATAAGATACTCCATCAGGTGACCTCTCTCTTGACCCAACCTGAATTTGCTCTATGCTCAAATATTTGTTGTTCCAGGACAGATATTTTTCCTCTGCCTTTTAAAATATTGTTGGTGGTCTTTTCTTTCTCACTCTTTTTTTGTTTTTACCTTTAAATCATTACTTTGTTTTTTATCGTTTCTGTCAGGTTTCCCAGTTTATTAAGCACAGGAGTGGATGCATAAAGACAATAAATGATGCAATGTTTTTTACGGACTGGGGGCTGGGGAGGGTCGGGGAATTGGGGAGCAAGCAGTGAATGTGGGGGTAGGAAGAAGCACTTAGAACTTATTGTGAGATGTCCATACAACGCTTTAAAAAGCGATTTAACTATGGAAACATGTGACATGTGGATAATATAGAAAGAAAACTACTGAGAAAAGAAACCAAACTTGGCCAATGGTTCCCATGGGTGAAGGAGAAAAGGGTTTTGCTTAGGGGCACTGTGTTTATGTTCATAATGGTGGGATAATTTGGAAAAGGATATCAATAATGCTTGTACCGCACGAAGAGTATAATAAATGGCATTGAATTATACAAATTTAAGTTGTTGAATTAGAGAATGTTTTGCTGTGTATATTTTTGCCTCAATTAAAAAAAATTTCACAGGGGGGGGGATGGGGTAGAAAGAAACAAAACTATTAACTGATTGTTAAGATCGAGGGTTCAATTTTATACTTCTTTGTATTCTTTTCCTAAAATTACCATTATAAAAAATAACAGACATGAGTTAATCTTGATGAGACAAATCTCTCTCTCTCTCACACACACACGATATTGAAGGGGAGAGCTAATCTGAAGCTGGTTCTAAAGGTGTTGGCATTGTAGCATGGCGCTTGAGTGATGCCAGCCACTTAGACAAATTTCCACAGACTGCAAAATGGAAAGAGTGCCAAAGGCGAAATACCGAGCTACAGCACAGCACAGGGTATATGTAGCTACTTGTTCGGTACCTGACTGAGATCACTGTCTAAAACAATATTTATAAATGATTCAAGAGGCTGAGCAACTCCTCTGAATGAACAGAAGGTGATGGGTTCAACCAAGAGCTTTGGGCTATGTCATTAGCCCAAATAAAATCTCTCTCCCTTTTTGGTTATAAAACACATCATTTGCAAAATTCAATGAGGCGTGAGTGAACATTCAAAGTCGCAAACTGAGGAGGTGACAGTGAGACTCTTGAGCGGTCAGCAGTGGAGCTGGCTTCTCCGAGCAGGGGCCCCGCCAGCAGGCACAGCGATGCTCTCTCCCTGCAGAGGAGGGGGCTGCACTGACCAGGGGCCAACTTTTCAGGTCTTCTACCAATTTCTCTCCATGGCATTCAAGATACCTCAGCGCAGATTACCTCAGGAACATCCTGTCTTTGACTTCCGTTCATTTCCGTCTGAGTTTAACTTACTCTGGAGA